GTAGAATTCTGCTGGAAAGCCATCTGGTCCAGGGTTTTTTTTTTGTAGGTAGTTTTCTTATTACATAGTCAATATCCTTGATTGTTATTGGTCTATTTAGGGTCTTGATTTCTTCTTTTTTCAACCTAGACAGGTTGTATGGTATCAGAAAGTCCTCCATTTCTTTAAGGTTTTCAAGTTTGTTTCCATACAAGTGTACATAGTAGTCTCTAATAGATTTTTTGTATTTCTTCAGGGTCAGATGTGACTTCATTTTTGTATTTCTGATTGTGTTTATTTGGGCTTTTTCTCTCTTTTTCTTGGTCAGTCTAGCTAGGGGACCATCAATCTTGTTTATCTTTTCGAAGAACCAGCTTTTTGTTTCATTGATTTTTTTGTATTATCTTTTTGTCTTCTATGTCCTGGATTTGGGCTTTTATTTTGGTGATCTGGATTCTTCTGCTGAAGTTAGGGCTTTGGTGGTCTTGCTTTTCCAGCTTCCTTAGATGGCTTTTTAGGCTGTTAATTTGTGATTCTTCCATTTTCTTCATGTGCACTTGTAGAGATATGAATTCCCCTCTTAATACAACTTTCATGGCATCCCAGAAATTTTGGTAAGATGTTTCTTCATTTTCATTTGTTTCCAGATATCTTTTAATCTCTGTTTTGATTTCATCAATGACCCAGGAGTTGTTTAGCACCATACTGTTTAGTGTCCATGTCTTTGTGGGTTTTGGGGGAACCTTGTTTGTGTTGATGTTTATTTTTATTCCACTGTGGTCTGAGAAGGTGTATGGTAAAATTTTAATCTTTTCAAATTTGCTTATGCTTGATTTATGGCCAAGTATGTGGTCGATCTTAGAGTACGTTCCATGCGGTGATGAGTAGAATGTATATTCTGTGGTCTTTGGATGGAATGTTCTGTAGGTATCAATTAAGTTCATTCAGTCAAGAGTCACATTGAGATTCCAGATCTCATTGCTGATTTTTTGTCCTGATGATCTGTCTAGGGTTGTGAGTGGGGTATTGAAGTTCCCAGCTATGATAGTGTTAGAGTTGATATCTTTTTTGAGTTTATGTAGAAGCTGCTTTATGAAAGTTGGCGCTCCTGTGTTGGGTGCATCGATGTTTAAGTTGGATATTTCTTGCTGGTGGATTGAACCTTTTATCATTATGTAGTGGCCTTCTGTATCTTTTTAAATTTTTGATAGCTTAAAGGGCATTTTGTCTGAAATTAAGATCACGACTCCTTTCTTTTGTGTTCCGTTCACCTGAAAATTTGTTTCCCATCTTCCTACTTTGAGTCTGTGAGTGTCCTTTCTAGTGAGGTGAGTCTCTTGAAGGCAATAAATTGTTGCCTGGTGATATTTTATCCATTTTGGCATTCTATGTCTTTTCAGTGGTGCATTCTGTCCATTCAAATTTAGGCTAATTATTGAACTGTGAGAATTGATCCCTGTCATAAGGTTCTTACAGAGTTGTTGTTTCTGTTTGTTTGTTGTCTTTCTTTTGGTTTTGGAGTTGGTTCATATGTGTTGTTAATCTTTTGCCTGTACTCCTGTGAAGAACGTTGTTGTTCTTTTTTCCTTTTCTTCTGTGTTCAGTACTTTCTTATGTGTTTCTCGTAGGAGTAGTCTGGTGGCAGCGTAGGTTCTTAGGGATTGGATATCTGGGAAAGATTTCAATTCTCCCTCACTGATGAAGCTTAGCTTGCCTGGTTAGGTTATTCTTGGTTGAAATTGTTTATCTTTTAGAACTTTGAAGATAGGACTCCAAGCTCTCCTAGCCTGGAGGGTTTCTGTAGATAAATCTGCTGCTATTCTAATTGGTCTTCCCTGGTAGGTAGTCTGACCTTTTTCCCTTGCTGCCTTTAGGGTTTTTTCTTTTATAGCTACTTTGTTTAGGTGAATTATTTTGTGTCTGCGAGTTGGTCTTCTCATTTGTTGTCTTGCAGGGGTTCTCTGAATCTCTTGTGTTTGAATTTTGCATCACTGATGAGATGGGGAAAGTTTTCTTGAATGATTTCATGAAATGGTTGTTCCAGTGTGGCCTCTGTTTCTCTCTGTGCCTCAGGAAGACCAATTACTCTTAGATTGGGTCTCTTGAAGTAATCATTCATCTTTTGAAGGTTTTGTTCTGTCTTTTTAAGCTTCTTTTCTATTTTTTTGACAGTTTGGGTTAGTTCTGTATTTTGGTCTTCAACTCTGAGATTCTTTCTTCTGCTTGGCTAATTCTTCTTTCCATGCTTATTAGTTTGTTATTTATTTCCATCACAGTATCCTTTTTTTGGTTTTTGAATTGGAGTCTCACCCTGTCGCCCAGATTGGAGTGCAGTGGCCACTCCCGGCCACTGCAGCCTCGACCTGCTGGGCTCCAGCGATCCTTCCGCCTCAGCCTTCCGAGTAACCAGAATTACAGGCACGCACTACCATGCCCTGCTGAGTTTTTGATTTATTGTAGAGATGAGGTCTTGCCAAGTTGCCCAGGTGGGTCTCGACCCACGGGCTCAGGCAATCCACTCACCTCAGCCTCCCAAAGCGCAGGATTACAGGCTGAGTCACCGAGCCCGGCTACCATTACAGTATTCTTTACTGCTGTTATTTCTGTCATCAGCTCCTTCCTATTTTCCTCATCTCTCCTCAGTTTTTTTAAATGTTATAAAACTTTAAGTCTCCAGCATTTGCAATAGGAGTATAGTCCAAACCTGCCTGCTTATTGTGTATTATAGAAATACTATTTTATGTACATGAATACGATTTTACAAAATTATTTCAAGAGATAAGTGATTGGGAATAATTCCTGTCAGAATGGCGAACAGGTAAGAACAGAGTTGTTGACCACTGGTTCTTGTTTTTTCCAGGCATGTGCTACTTTGCCTTTTGGATTTGGTTTCTTCTCTTGCATTAAGTTTTTTAAATTTAATATCGAATACCCGAATTACAAACCTATTAATAGGATAGAGTCTTCACTTTTTTATTTTAAGGAAAATTTAGTCCTGGTTGATGGTTTGATATACTTTTGTATCTTGTGCATGCACTTAAGTGTTTTCAGTAAGTTTAAATAATGTTCTGCAAAATAATAGTATCATTTCTATTTTTCACAAGAAGCTTTTATGTTCTCCAGATATGATTAAAAGTAAATACTTGTATTAGAAGCCCAACATTATTCAGTGGGAATGTTTCTAACATTGAAAACAAGATAAGTATGATTTATAAGCACTATTATTTATAAACATTCTACTGGAGATACTAGCTGGTGCCATCAGAGATGAGGGATCTATATCCATATTTACTTGTATATGCATAAAAATACCTCTGGGTACAAACTAATTTGCAGTGGGTACCTAATTTGCAGACTGGTGTATAGAAGTCGGGGAGGAAGCAAAACTTTTTATTGCATATTTTACTTTTTGATGTTTGTGCCAACTTATTTTCTAATAAAATTAAATAAGATGATTTGATTGCATAAGCACATCACATCTTATTTGTTAAATTTTAATTAGACTATTTCATCTTTGTCCTTATTTTTAATATCATGCTTATGTACAGATAGTTTTGACAGTTTATACAAATTGGTCTTTAGTTACAAAACAGCATAACTTCATATAATAATGGTTTGTTTGTTTTTTTAGGTTAATGTCCCAAAAATGAAACATAAGCCACCTAGGCAACAGAAGAAAGTAGCAAAAGGCTATTCCTCCCCAGAACCTGATATCCAGGACTCATCTGGAAGTGAAGGTAAAAATATTTACTGCAGACTACTTATCATTAGTGTCTAATTTTTTAAGTAAGCTATTAATATACTATTTGACATATGAAAATGGTTTTTCATATTAACTCAAGAAAACATACAAGAGTTTTAGGGGGACAGGGTTGGATTACAAAAGCTATTCTAGATGGTAGTTAAGTTGCAAAATCAGGCCACAGGGTAAAGGCTTCAGAAATGAAAAAAGGGGAGACTTACAAATAAGAAGTACACTGTAGTAGTAGCTCTTATGCCTTGTTAGCCTCTGAAAAAGTACTGATGGTTCCCTAGAATGAATTCAGGTAGCATTTTTTGAGCTTTGGGCTCAGTTCCATCCTTCAAAAAGGTTTTTCATATCCAGAATAAATCATTGTAGTGTTTGGAAGTCACAGACAAGTAAAAATACAGCTATATAAAACTTAATGAACTGTTAGTTTAAATAGTGTGTCATTGTTGCTCACATCAGATAACATGTAAACTGTCTTGAACTATATTGAGACATAATCAAGAAAGGATTAACATGGTGTCTGAGACATTATGAGAAAACAAAAAACTTCAAGCTATTATCTCTACTGAGTTTACACTAAGCTGGGGAGCCCATTCTTATGTACAAGGATAACAGTAGAGGTGAATTAATGGTAAATAATAGGAAATTAGTAGATGATAAGCAATGAAGATATTAAAGGAGAGGAGCCAGATGCAGTGGCTCATGCTTGTAATCCCCGCACTTTGGGAGGCCAAGGCAGGAGAACTGCTTGAGCCCAGGGATTCCAGACCAGCTTAGGCAACATGGTGAGATATCATCTCTACAGAAAACAATCAAAAAATTAGCCAGGTATGGTTGCATGTGCTTGTAGTCCCAGTTACCCAAGGCTGCAGTGAGCCATGATCATGCCACCGCACTCTAGCATAGGTGACAGAGTGAAACCCTGACTCAAAATTTTAAAAAAGAGAAAGTTTAAAGGATAGGGAGTTCAATTCGAGGGAATATTCTTAGAAGAACCCAGTGAATTATTAGGGTTTCTAATGAATCATAGCAACCTAAGTTTTGAGGGGTACTGTAGCAACATACTGGAGAAATAGAGGAAGGAAATGGATAAAGGTTTAAAAGCAGGAGTCACATGATACCAGCATGCTAGAAGAGAGTTTTGGTTGCAGTGTTGTTATTCCCATTTTACAGGAAAGGAAACTGAGGCACAGGTTATCCTGCCCAAAGTCATATACCTCACAGAGTATGTATATTCTATATGCAGATATTTGAACTATTTAAGTCATCCTCTTATCCACTTACTATGTTGTAACGTATCAGCTGGCATTTGTTATGTAATTAACATGTACCAGACTGTATGTTAAACACACCTTACAATAACCGTGTGAAGTTTGGATATTATTATCCCTATTTTAAAAAGAGAAAGCTGAGACTTGGAGAAAGGTAAGACCTGAACAAAAACAAAAAAGAAAGAATGAATGTGAGAGGGGATTTGAAAAAGCTATACAGCTTGCTGATTGGCAATAAAAATTTGCAGAAGAGTATGAAAACCGACTGAAGAATTAGCTTAAAGTTTAAGTAACTTCAAGGATAAAGATAACACTAGCAATTAATTAAATAATGAAAAGAAGGCTCAGAAAGTTGACTTCTTCAGATGAAGGCAAATGGACAAGGGATAGAAGAGAGTAATACCTATCCCAGATTAATAAGTTTTCTAATGAATTATGTCTGTTTTAATTAGTTAAAAAATAAAACTGGTGCCATCCCAGATTTAACTAATTTCTGGTTATTCTAAATATATTCATAATGTTCTATCTTTGAAATATGTTTGAAACTTCAAAAATGCAGAGTATTAATATTATGCTCATCTCTAAACCACAAAAATGAATGCCTAGGAAAATTTTTATTACATGGGACTCATTAATTTGAACTGTAGGTTGTGCTTACGGTTATAACTTCATTCTAAATGTCTTTTTAGCTCAATCAGTAAAACCAAGTACAAGAAGAAAGAAAGGGATAGAACTGGGAGACATTCAAAGTTCTATTGAATCTATAAAACAAACACAGGAAGAAATTAAAAGGTAATGTATACTGACAGTGACTATTAATTTGAGACAGAGGAGTAGTTAATCCTGTTACTTAGAAAAACATATGCAAACTTTACCTTTTTATAACATTGTTAAGCTAAAATAGACTGTTCTTCCCTAGTACCTGATGCTTGACACTTATGAAATTCCCCCAGCACTAAAACGCTGGAGGAGAGGGGGAGGCTGTTTATTCTTTATGAGGGTAAATTTGGAATCACTGTCTTTCTGTTGTAGCATGCTAGGAATGTAGCTGGGTAGGGTGTGGAGGTGGGGTTGTTTCTGAAAAAGTCAGTTAACAAAGGCTTCCACAGTCCCCTTTGTGCATGCATGGCTAATATTTAATTGGAATGCACCAATTGTTGAAATACTGAAATATGCAAGCTGAGTTGAGTTCATATAAATACTGAAATACTTCCATAACAGTGGGTAGTCACTGCCTTTGAGACCTTTTGAGTGCTGTTCTTGCAGTCCCAGACCCACCCGTCGCCACCCC